GGGCATTATTGAATTCAAGAGAAATAATCTAATACTTGATATATTTATATAATATAAACATACACACAATTATAAACATAATTACATAAATAAATATATAACAAATAAATACAATATTACTATATAAAACAATTAACTGTAATAGAAGAGCATATAGCAATCTATGACTCTAATACCGATGAGTAATGAATAAAAAGAATGAGTAACCAGCAAGATTAAGTTTAAACGGAAAGTGATTTTTCTAAGTAATAAATTTATATATACGAAATAGCAGGTAAACAGTTAGTCCTATATATATATATATATATATATAAATAGATTCATCGTATGGTCCCGGCATAGAATAGATCACCCCTTCCATTCCCGTGAGTCTCGTAAGAAACAACCAAGGGAACGTAATGGTCAGTAGTTGGGCAGCACGGTTCTTTTAAAGTTTTAGCCCCGCCTGCGCTAACGGGATACGAGTACGCTGGCGGAGCACCAATGAAGGGTGATAGATGAGAATGAAAACAGGCGAGTTAGCCCATCATGATGAATTCATCAGGAATTAACCATGATAGTTTCCAGGGAGAACCGCGAGGAGGTCGACCTGGTTGGATATATTGCTAGCAATGGGATTATCAGTCTCCATTACTAACAATCCCTTTCCCCCCGGTAAATGTGTTAAGTTATTAAAAGTAAAGAATTAACCTTTCCAGGGTTCATCCCTGGAAGAGCACAGCAATCACATTAATAAATATTTCATAAAGTACATAACAAAATTTTTATATATATATATATATATATATATATATATATATATATATATCGTTGATTAACATAAATACAATTCAATTTTCTCATTGAAAAATTCCTGCAGTGTATAATAACTTTTTGTAATTAAATATTTTTTAGAGCTATTTTAAACTTTTTAGAATCATTCTCACTTTTTAAGTTCATTGGTGTTTTATTGTAAATTCCATATGATGATGATATAAATAAATATAATATGAATATAAAAAATATAAATGCAATCAATTTAAAATAGCTACGTAATATTATTTCCATAATTAAACAATACTTCTGGGACTAAAGCCATCAAAACGTAATAATGGAATACCCTGACCTACATTTTTCGATTTATTCGTCTATTGTATAATAAACTAATTTCCTTCAAAATGCTGAGTGATGCAAAAAGGGCCTATTTAATTTATACTACACTAGCAATCCGCCCTGGCATCGCACGGGAATACCAAAAAAATAATTAGTACAGGGATACTACGAAGGGTACAGAGGAATAACACCTGAGTCCTCAGGAATGGCAACACATGGGGGGTATAATGGGCGAAACAGTGTACTCTGTTATGTTCATGGTACTGCTTATGTCTATAGGCGTGGGTAGTTTTTTTTTAATGGGTAATAATGGAATGGTAACCCCACCCGCGCTATAGGTATACACCGGCGGGGCACCAGTGAAGGATGATAGGTGAGGATGAAGCAGGTCAGTAAGCCCAACGTGACGAATTCAACAAGAATTGTTCACGATGGTTTCCAGGGGGAACCACGTGGAGGTCGACCTAATAAGGCATATTGCTAGCAATGGGGCTGTCAAACTCCATTGCTAACAATCCCTTTCTCCCAGGAAGAGGTAGTTCACTCTATACAAGGACCACACAGTGATCAATAAATAATATGATTTTCTTTAAATAAATCCTAAGTATTTATAATTTCACTCTTAGAACGTTTATTGTGAAAGGTTGTTGACTTATTATCGACTTGGTCGTATATGCCATAACAACATGTCGGGTTCAGCTGAACGACAGACGGAGCGATTATTCACGAAGCCGTACTTTAAGCCCTTTGTAGTATCTTAAATTATAACAACATTGGAAAACTCAGGACGTTGACTTTCCTTTTTCAACTTGCCGTATTACGCGGCTTTGTCTGCTTAAATCTATTCTAATTTTATGAAGAGGACATATTTGTATGTGTATTTTTAATGGATAAACATGGCAAGCGAATCCGACGATGGAATCGTCATGATTCCATCGACGGATCCACTTGCCATTTGTCTAGAGGCCCTGGAAGAGAATAGCCATAGAAACCCAATCAACAGAGATATAATAAATTATATTAGTACTAGCTTTTAGCCGTGACTTCGTCTGCATAATAAATATGCTCACTAACTAGGATAACTTTTATCGTATTTTCAATAATACTCGTATGTAGTACTATTTATCTGTAAAGGCTTTTACATCGCAGTAAGTCCCGATTGTGTATTTAAAATATGTGTAAACAACGTGAAAGTTTATAATTAACTAACTTTTATCATAATTATTAAAGTAAACAATTGACAGTTTTATATTATTTATTTATTTAACTCTTTATTGCACCATAAATAAAAATATACAATGACATGTGAATAATTCAAGTGAAATACAATAACATAAATACAGATTGAAATATACACATAAAGTTACAAAAGGCGGTCTTATCGCTAGGGCAATCTCTTACAGACAACCTTTGGTTAAAGGAGAACAGATAGAAATGGGCAGGTGGCGCAAGAGTGAATTATTATATATTATTTTTATTAAAGAGTATATTCCTTCCTAAAAGCCCGACAAACCATATGCAATTTCTCTGATGTTGTAAGTGTTTCTGGGCGACGGTTATCACTTACCATCGTTAGATGTAATAAGAATAAAGAAAATTATGTAAACTGCATTAAAATAACCTCTAATTTATCATTGAATTCGTCATGATGAGCTAACTGACCTGCCTTTTTATCCTCACCAAACATCCCTTACTGATGCCTCGCCAGTGTATACCGATAGCGCAGGCGGGGTTACCATTCTATTATCACCAATTAAAAAGAAAAACTACGCAACGGATTTTAACGCAGTTTTCATCAATAGATAAAATGATTCAAAAGGAAGGTTTATACCTATAGTTTAATATTGTTTTGTGTAAATTTGTTGAAATATGACGATAAGTGTTGAAGTCGTCGGAAGAAATAAAGTCGACTGAGAGCTTTTATCAAAAATGCTGCCTAAACCTTTTGAGATGCAACAAAACAATGTATGGTGGGATTGTTTCTCTTTTATAGATCTACAAAAAGATCCGCGATGGTGTATGTCTATCTTTTAATAACAGCTCACTATACCCACTTTATTCATATTCAACAAACTGGTGCAAGTCAAAAATGTTATTATATTTGCTCTACTACCCGTGCAAAGCCAGGATATGTTGCTAGTTATTAATAAGGCACAAATAAGAAAATCATTGTGTGGTCCCGGTATAGAATGGACCTCTCTTCCCATCCCGTGGGTGTCGTAAGAGACGACTAAGAGAGGGCGAGGAATGGGTAGCAGCAAATTCTAACTGCGGTTGCCAAGCCGCCTGCCAAGCGTGGCAACTACTGGCAAAACCCACTTATGGGAGAGACTGTGTTCAACAGTGGAGAGTTAACGGCAGTTACAATAACAACCTAATTATTATGTTATAAAGAACCGCAACTTGGCAACCTACAGCAATAGCTTCATTGATAATGACAGTTTAAAAGTGTTCGTAAATAAATCTATTTGAATAAATATTATTTGAAAGTAACAACCCTAATATTCATAGCAGGGTAAATATAGTAGATGACAGAATTAATCCAATTATTATTAAGATCAATTAATTGTTGAATTTGTTTTTGTGATTCACAAAAAATTACGATTTGAAAGTGCACGTAAACAAGTGTAATTGAATAAAGATGTTTTAAATATGTGACAACCCTAATATTCATAGCAGGTAAATATAGTAGATGACAGAATTAACCCAATTATTATTATGATCAATTAATTGTAAAATTTGTTTTAGTGGTTTATAAAAAATGAAGATTTGAAAGTGCACGTAAATAAGTCTAATTGAATAAAGATGTTTTAAATATGTGACAACCCTAATATTCAAGGGGGGAAAGGGATTGTTAGTAATGGAGACTGAGAATCCCATTGCTAGCAATATACCCAATCAGGTCGACCTCCTCGCGGTTCCCCCTGTAATATCATGATGAATTCCTGATGAATTCATCATGATGTGCTAACTGGTCTGTTTTCATTCACATCTTCACTGGTGCTCCGCCAGCGTATTTCGTTAGGGCAGGCGGGGTTACCATACCATTTTTACCCATTAAAACCCTAATATTCATAGCAGGGTAAATATGTTTAATGATAGAATTAATCCAATTATTATTAAGATCAATTCCTTGTTGAATTTGTTTTAGTGATTCATAAAAAATGACGATTTAAAAGTGCACGTAAACAAGTCTAATTGAATAAATGTGATTTAAATTTGAATTGGTGTAAACAAAACAAATTGGAACTTTTCAGCAGCTTATAGCTTTTTTTTTAATATGTAATATGTTTTACGGCTCAGCAAAATTTTGTGTTTGATACAAAAAGTAAAAGTTTTTTTTTCTTAATTACATAATTTCAAGTGACGAGACATCGTTTTAATAATTATCGTAATATTACGATTTGGCATATAAAAAAAAAGGATGACGTGGTAAAAATATGATTTAATATTTCTGCACGTAACATAGAGTTTAGAAATAATCAGAGAATTATGTGTGCCCTATATTTTTTTTAATATGACGAAGGTGGCAAATAATTATACAACCCGTCTGATGGTAATTTATGTTAATTTATTCGCCTAATACTTTTACAATTTTTTAAGTTCATTCTCACGAGTCACTGTATAAATAATAACTTATAGGTATTAAGTTATACCTATTTAATTAAAAAATAAACAAATTTAAAGTTATTATTCAATTTTTATTTTACTATTTTTTAGTTTCATACAGTAAAAGTTTGTTTTCAACCCCATTGTTTTATCAAATATTTGATGTAAATATTTAGTTGCCATTCATAACACTGATCGTAAACTCCGATAAGCCGAATTCTTTTTTTTCAGGCGTCCATTATTAACTTTTTAAAAAAGGAACAAATTCAAAAACAAAAACAATAGTACAGAATTCTCACCGTTCAAATTTCGAACTCGATGACAGGTAGCACAACGTCCGATTAAACTTAACGTCAGTTGGCCCGTAAAGCAACCGTGCGGACTTCGCAGTGTGCGGCTCAGCACTGCGGTAGTATCGACCGGTCGGCACATAAAATAAGCGGATAGCACGCGATGTAATACACCTAGGTTCTTTAAGACGCCTGTGTCGCCGGTCGCATTAATACATTTAAATTCCTAGACACAACGTATGACATAATATTCAGTCAGGAAATGACAGGAAGTGCTAACTAGTTATTGCATTTTTTCAATCAGCTCCAGTTAAAATGTTTCTTCGTAACTGTCATCTTACTACGAACTATATTTAGTCCGCACAGACAGATAGACTTACCTCTAAAAGATCACATTAGTAAAAACACAAGAAAAGACATTAAAATAAATATACACATTAGGAAAATAACGGGAAGCCTTATCGCTGAAAACGATCTCGTCTACATAACTTTTTTTTATAACACAGTGGGCAAACAAACATGCGGCTCACCTAATGGTCAGTGACTACCGCCGCCCATGATCACCCGCAACACCAACGGCATTGCAGGTGTGCTGCCGGCCTTTTAAAAAGGAATATGCTCTTTTCTTGAAGGTCATGATATCGTATCGGTTCGGAAATAGTGCAGATTAAATCACCGCAGGGTTAATTAGATATTGCCGGATATAAACCTCACATTTCATCTAACAGAAACGCATGCTAATACAGAAACTAGGTTATGGCCATACGGTCTAAATCTGATAGTATGTATAAATGAATAAGTATACTTTATTTATATTGTACAACATAGGGAATCATCGTCATATCAGCCTTTAACTGTTCACTGCTGAACATAAGCCTCCCCCTTGGGGGGTTCTGTTAGTAGTTGCCACGCTTGACAGACGGGCTGGCAACCGCAGTTAGGCTTTTAAGAGGGACGCTGCTGCTAATCCCTCTCTCTCTTCCTTAGTCGCCTCTTACGACACCAACGGGAAAGGAAGGGGTGGCCTTTTTTTTATACAACTTAGAATGGCAAACAAGCTGACGGCTCACCTGATGGAAAGTGGTAACCATCGCCTATAAACATGAGCAGTACCATGGACATAACAGAGTATACTGTTTCGCCCATGATACCCCCATGCGTTGCTATTCCTGAGGACTCAGGTGTTATTCCTCTGTACCCTGTAAATTCACGCCATATCCTACCCTTCATACCGAAACACAGCCATGGCCAATTTTATTCCGGGACCTCATGGCCAATGCAAGCGTGGTAACTACTGGCGAAATCCCCCCAATAATAAACTGCCAAAAGGAGTGATCCCATTCGTTGTAGCAGATTATGAAGGAGGCCTATTTTCAGCAGTGGACAGGTCAAGGCTGTTGTGATGATAATGACTAGGTTAGTAAATAGTTATTGTAGTATTATGGTTGCAGCACCAGATATATTTATTAGTTGTTGGTGATCAAACGTTGTCAATCTTAGTTGATACCGTCCTATGGCCATACAGTCTACATGTGATAAGTTATTATAGTTTATATACAGTTATAATATCAGAGATATCGTTGAATAATAACTACTGTATCATCATCTTCCTACCCTTATCCCAATTATTATTTGGGGTCGGCGTAATACGGTTTTATTCATATTACTAAAGGATTTGGCTTATAGTTTTACGACCGTCCACCTGACGTCAACCCTCTTTGGGAATAGCTACTATATATTGTATTGTAATTATTTCTCGCCATAAATACCTGGGAATCAAACCCATTATCCTCTGTATCGCTCGCTATACAAACCGCCTCATCGCCGCTAACACCGTCGCAAATCCCACGCGCGACAACAAACAGCGCGCTGGTGACGCAGTGCTGCTCACAACACAGTATGAACCGCGCTCTTGAAAAGAGCTACTTTTGAGTTTAAAACTCGGATGTCCGATATTTAAAAGTCGGATATCCCGGAATTTTAAACGTAAGTAAAGCTGACATAAATAATTACAATATTAAAGGTATCACTTATGCATTGCTGATCTCATGTTTTGTTAATGGATAATAATGGAATGGTTACCATTCTTTTCCCCGTCTTTACTAACGTATACACTGGCGGGGCACCAGTGAGGGATGATAGGTGGGAATAAAAATAGGTTAGTTAGCCCGTGATGAATTCACCTGGAATTCAGCACGATGGTTTCCAGGGAGGACCACATGGAGATCGATCTTGTTGAGCATATTTCTAGCAAATGGGACTGATAGTTCGCATTACTAACAATCCTTTCCCCTGCTGATCCCGTGGTATAATGATCTTGAGTCACTAAAGGCATCATTGTTGATCATTATAAGATGGATTTCTGGACACACAGTACTTAGTAAATAGAGACTAACAACCCTTATTGCTAGCAATTTTCACACAGTTTCCCCTGGTTGTTAAGGTGTGCTTAATTCTATTTTTAAACTCTCAACATAATACGAGAGGTGACGTAAGTTTAAAGCATTTATTATTGTATTCGTTTGTAGGGTCGTAACTCCCAAATGGATCACTTGATTAAAATGCAATTTAGGCGATTAAATTATAACGGCTACAATGTTATGGTTCATCATCATCATCATTAAATCAGCTATTAACTATCCATTGCTGAGTATAGGCCCCTTGGGGGGTTTTGACAGTAGTTCCCATGCTTAGCAGGTGGCAACTGAAGTTACGCTTTGGTGATGTTTTAAGAGGGATGCTGCTACTCATCTATCGATTATCCATCCATACATTAAACTCCCTTAGTTACTTCATATGACATATTCGACACCTACGGGAAGCCACCACGGCGTGACCCATTCTATGCAGAAACCATATGGCTATAGTATAACCATATTCTTAGGGTCATATCCTTTTAAATAATCAATAATTCGTTTTCGGAAACCATCATTTATAAACCACATCTATGTGACGATGGTAACTGTCTATATGCTCGGCGAAATGTAAGCATTTCGAGTGTTGTTCACCACAATGACTACATTCGACTAACTCCCCTCGCTACTTTTTTTTTATGAACTTCAGAATGGTAAACAAGCTAACGGCCCACCTGATGGAAAGTGGTAATCATCACCTACAAACATGAGCAATACAATGGACATAACAGAGTATATTGTTTCACCTATGATACTCCCCATGCGTTGCCATTCCTGAGGACTCAGGTGTTATTTCTTTGTACCCTGTAAATTCACTGCAATATCTCACCCTTCAAACCGAAACATAGCCCTGCAAACACAATTGCTTCTTGATAAAAACACGATTGGGATAGAAGTGCCCAAGCAAACGACTTTTGTACAAAGTCTCCCTCATTCGAGACTTACAGTTACTAGTCCAAGCCGTATAAAAATAATGTACATATATGCAATCTAAATTTGTTTGCTCTGAATAGAGTTTAAAAGCCTTTTTTGTTACCTGTAGGGTAATGACCGATACAATAAAATTAAATCGTTTTCATACGTTTAATTAGTTAGTTGTTTTATACATACAATGAATGTGTTTTTTTTTTTTATTTTCAACCTTAAAAAAGAAGGATTTTTGTTTAATGTTTGTTACCTCATAACTCCGTTCATTGTAAACCGTTTTGGAAAATTCTTTTTTTTATCTGAAAGGATATACTTATAGATTGGTTCTCTAGAAATTTCGTAAAAATAAAATGAATTGTTTAGTTTTCAAATCAAATTTATTGGTTTTGCAACCACGGTTTTTCTTCTATGGAACACATCCTCGCTATTTGATACGGATGACGGGATGCCTATTATATTGGAGGCGTTGTGTATATTTAAGGATAGAATACGAGTACAAGTTAGAGGGTATAGGGTAAGTAAGATAGACCTAAGACTGCTATTGAAGGGGAAAAGGATTGTTAGTAAGGCGGAGTATCAGTTCCATACATACATACATACATATCTGTCACGCCTGTCTCCCTTTAGGGTAGGAAGAAACAATGGAACGCCAAATGCTTCGATTCAAACAAACTAGTTCCATTGTCAGTAATTTACTCTGTCAGGTCAACCTCTACGTGGATACGTACTAGGGGAACCTGGAAACCATCGTGCTGAATTTCACGTGTATTTTTTTTTATGGATGAAAATGGTATGGTAACCCCGCCTGCGCTAACGGAATACGCTGGCTGAGCACCAGTGAGGGTGATAGATGAGAATGAAAACAGGCCAGTTAGTCCATCATGATGAATTCATCAGGAATTAATCATGATAGTTTCCAGAGGGAACCGCGAGGAGGTCGACCTGGTTGGGTATATTGCTAGCAATGGGATTCTTAGTCTCCATTACTAACAATCCCTTTCCCCCCTTTCACGTGTATTTATCACGATGGGCTAAATAACTTTCCTTTTCATCGTCACCTATCATCCCTCACTAATCTCGAGTGGGGAAAGGTATTGTTGGCAAAGGAGTCTAACTGACCCATTGCTAGCAATATACCCTATCAGGTCGACTTCCACGCGGTTCCCCCTGCAAACCATCGCGGTTTATTCTAGTGGAATTCGTCACGATTGGTTAACTGGCCTGCTTCATCCTCACCTATCATCTTTCACTGGTGCCCCGCCGGTGTATACCGATAGAACGGGTGGGATGACCATTCCATTATCACTCATAAAAAAAAAACTAACGGAGTTTTTTTTATACAACTTAGAATAGCAAACAAGCTGACGGCCCACCTGATGGAAAGTGGTAACCATCGCATATAGACATGAGCAGTACCATGGACATAACAGAGTATACTGTTTCTCCCATGATACCCCCCATGCGTTGCCATTCCTGAGGACTCAGGTGTCCTCTGTACCCAGTAAATTCGTCACGATGGGCTAACTGATCTGCTTCACCCTCACCTATCATACTTCACTGGTGCCCCGCTGGTATATACCGATAATGCAGGTGGGATTACCATTCCATTATCATCCATTAAAAAAAACTGACGGAGTTATGAAGTAACAAACATAAAAAATACAACCGAATTGACAGCGTCCTTATTTTTTAAGTCGAATGTTTTTTAAGAGCAAAGAAATCCAGCAATTTTTTTTTTTATTTACTAGTTATTCAAGAAATTACTATTTTACAAATTGCTAGCAATGGGGCTGTCAAACTGCATTGCTAACAACCCCTTTCCCCCAAACTCCGTCAGTTGTAAACCGGTATAGAAAAATTCTTTTTTATCTGAATACATGTATTTACCGATTAATTCTATAGATATTTTATCAAAATTGGTTTAGTAGTTTTTAAGTTCAAATAATTGATTTTATCGCAACAGAAGTTGGTTTCTTTTATACCACAAAGGTGGCAAACAAGCATAGCCTGTCTGATGGTAAACGGTCACTGTAACTTGTGGACGTCTGCAACACCAGGGGTGTCACGTATGCGTTGCCAACTCTGAAGAAACCTTAATATGCCTTTTTTAAAGAACCCTCTACTGTAGTCTCTAGGTAAAAGCTAGGGTAAGCCTCGGCAGGGAGCTCATTCCACAGCCTGAGCGTTCGTGGGAGAAAATTTCTCTGAAATCGCACTGTACGTGACCATTTAGGTTCAAGCATGTGAGAGTGAATTCAATTTTAATTTAATTTAAATTTAATTTTGAGGATGAATTTTGTAGAACAGAATCTTAATTATTGGAAAATAAATAACATTTTTTAATTTATTTTTTTCTTTATTGACTATTATAATTAATAACATTATAATCTAAGAGTATATTATTATATTAAATCTAGTTATTTTCATCTAAAATTACAACTAATCAATCTGCATGCGATTTTTTCACGCCATTCGTTACAGAAAATGTATGGTGGTTGGACCCGTTCTTTATACCCACACCGTTACTTGTCTGCTGTGCGGCTAATGCTTTTGGCTTTTTGATGTATTCTTTGATGTAAAAGTCTACAAAAAGGACAAGCATAAAGACGTTTTGCGGCAAGAAAATGGCGGCGGTCCAGCATGGAAATTCGCAGTTTGGAATGAAGACGAGCGCTCCCATGTGAATGATGAAGCAGAAGAATTGTAGCTGAAAAAATTATGTTGAAATAAATAAATATACTAACGACAATAATCTTTAATGGGATAGTTAGAGCCAATGGTGATTTATTGGTATTGTAATGATATATGTCCACAGTCCGTGGAGTATGTTACAATCGAACTTGGTAAGAGTATTGGTAGGAGATCTAGTACAACAATGGAAGAAGATTCTTAATGTATACGAATTGTTTTCATATGTTTATTGTTTTGCAATTGCATTGTTAAAACGACTTCTGTAAATACTCCAAAATTGCAAGTCTTGTAGATACACGATTTTAGGTGCTCCACAACAACTATACATTTTCCATACGTGTATATTAATTAAGAAAATATTAAACGGTAATAAATTTGTTTTATTTTATTTATTAACACTTTATTTCACCATTTACGATACAATAGAATTCAAAACAATAATTTTAGTTCTCTGTCTGCGTGCTTGTCTGTCGGTAGGTTATATTTGTTCCGACGTCACGCAAAAATTACTGCACCAAATCGAATGTGGTTTTCACACAGCCGTAGCTAGACCCAAGTTTAAGGTAGCGCAAAAATTACTTTTTGGTAGGGCAAAAGTCATAATTAAGTGATTTCTAAAAAGCGAATCTGTGAAATTTTCTTGGAGCCTTTCATTTTAGAGTAGGGCACTGGGCCTTTTAAGGTAGGGTGTCGCCCCTCAACCTCGGCCCCCTAGCTATGACCATGGGTTTTCACAATTATGTTAGGTTAGGTAATTATGTTAAGTTCGACACTTAAAAAGTGGTAAATCTTTTATCTTAATACGTTATCTAGAAGAGATCTACCAGAGGGAGACTTTGTACATACCAGAGGGAGACTTTGTACAAAAGTCTTGGGTACTTCTGTCCCATTCGTGTTTCTACCGTGAAGCAGTTGTGTTTACATGGCTGTGTTTCGGTTTGAAGGGTGGGATATGGCGTGAATTTACAGGGTACAGAGGAATAACACTTGAGTCCTCAGGAATGGCAACGCATGGGTGATATCATGGGCGAAACATTATACTTTGTTATGTCCATGGTACTGCTCATGTCCATAGGCGACGGTTACCACTTTCCATCAGGTGGGCCGTCAGCTTGTTTGCCATTCTAACTAGTATAAAAAAAAAAGATCTATTTCTTTGGTTCTTAAATATTCGTGTATGAGGTAGCGGGTAAAAAACTAGTGTGAAATTAAAAAAAAAAACCAACTCAGGAACCTCTAACTTACAATTTGGAGTTGAGTGATATATTTTTTCCACCATAAAGATCCTTTTAAACTGGGATTTGCCACTGTGAGGAGGTAATATCCATACATTATAACGTGAACAAATGAATTTATCACTCCCACAAACGTTCCGTGGCCTCCTGAAATAAAAATAAAAGACAGAATTACAACAATGAAATTTTTTTTTGTATTTTTTCTTTCAGTCATTGAAGCACAGTGTTTTTTATGTGTATGGACGATGGTTGCCACTTTCTATCAGGTGCGGCTTTAGTTTATTTCATGTTGCCTAAAAAATGGATATAGGTATACGATTTCATTCAAAAGTGATACTTAAAACTTTTCTAAATAAAAATTGAAAAAAAGTAAATACATAAATAGACAACTATATAGATAATTATTACTTTTACTAGATATAGCAAACAAAGAGGGAGACTTTGTACATATGGTAGTGAATGTACAGGGTACAGAGGAATAACACCTGAGTCCTCATGAATGGCAACGAATGAGGGGTATCATGGGCGAAACAGTACACTCTGTTATGTCCATGTTACTGTTTATGTCTATAGGCAACGGTTACCACTTTCCATCAGGTGGGCTGTTAGCTTGTTTGCCATTCTAAGTTGCATAAAATAAATAACAACAAACACGGATAGACATGTATATAAAGAGAGAGAAAAAAGTACAAAGAAAAAAGAAAAATACATAAAAATAAATATAGATTCTTTCGTGTGTGTACCAAAGTGACAAAAAAATGGCCACAACTTAGTTTATCACTTATACAGTTTAGATAGATATCATACAAGTAGGACAAGGCATTAATGCTGCAGAATCCTTATGCCTGAATAAGTATCTACATAGCCAGATTTTGATTAGGTTTAAAGAGAATGGATGATAGAAGAATTACAAAAAAAGGTTTGTCGAGCATAAATGAATAGAGATGTCGACAGGGTTTGTTCAAGATAGACGTATGTGGACTGAATAGGCGACGTGCTGAAGAAAGGCCAAAATAAAAGTATCGGTAACCAGAGAACGTGTATGAAAAGATTGGAAGACTGTGGAAGAAGCAAAAGAGGTCTGTTTGAATGAAAGTATGCGTGATAGATATGTATGTAAGTATATATATACAGATTTTATATTTCTGTTAAATTTGAAATAATATTTTGACAATTAATATTTTGTTAATTAGATGTACGTTTCACTGTGTAGAACATTCACATGTAAACACATGTTTGTAGACCATGCATGTGTCTACAATCATGTGTCAACAAGTGTATAGAATCATTATTCTTGAGACATATATAAATATTTATTCATTAATTTATATATTAATTAAACATGTCAATTGAAAAAAGCGATTCTTTTTTTGCAAAATTAATATATATATACATATACATATATATATATATATATATATATATATATATATATATATATATATATATATATATATATATATATATATATATATATATATATATATATATATATATATATATATATATAAATAATATATTTTTAATTTATTTATAACAAAAATATTGTCGATAAATCAGGTATTTATTTACATAAATATAGGTATTTAAATACATGCTGTTATATAAAAAAAAAATGTTGGGATCCCATCACTACACTCTACAGTTATTGGTTATACAAATATTATCAATTCTTTTTCCAAAAAAAAAAAATTAAATACAATATTAATTAGCAATTTAATTACAGGTAATTTCAATATATTTATTTATTTTTAAAATTAGGTATTGTAACAATCAATTTCACAGTCATGGATTTAAAAAAATAAATATTAAAATTGTGATTGTGATTTATAAAAATACAACAAAATAACTAAATTGTTGACTTACCAGGAAAATATGTCACGGCTCCCCATATCAGCATTACCATGCCTGTATGATGGTAAACATGTAGGAACGAAATTTGATTGAATTTCTTTCTCATCACGAAAAATACCTGCAAATGTTATAAGTAATATTTATTTTTGTTAGGGTGGCAAAAGAGCAGACGGTCTTATCGCATATCTGTCTATTTCAGTTCGAGTTCACCCATTGTTGGGTATAGGCCTCTTCATGACTCTGCGAAGTGACTTGATCCTTTTTTGTTAGCAAATTAGAATGGCAAACAAGCTGACGGCCCACCTGATGAAAAGTGCTAACCGTCGCCTATAGATATGAGCAGTCATATGTATCCTGCACTAGCCCGCTGTTCTTGTTATATTTTGTTTACACTTTCCTCCGGCCAATTCTTGGTCTCCACTCTGCGATTTTACCGCTACAATATCCATCAACATGCTAATCATGTGGCCTACCCATCTCTATTTCGATCTGGACACAAATAGGGCGATGGTTTCGAGTCCTGACATATCGATTTATAATAGTAACTAGTTGTACACTACACTCCGTCCGCGTGGGCGTTCGATAAATGCTAAGTTATTCTAAAATTTTTGTACATTTCTAAAAAATCACAAACGAATCAAATGATTTGTTTGAATGTTTGCATTATAATTATATACAATTATATATGTCAGTAATAAAATAAATATTATGTAACATAGTTTTTTTTTATACAACTTAGAATGGCAAACAAGCTGACGGCCCACCTGATGGGAAGTGGTAACCGTCGCCTATAGACATGAGCAGTACCATGGACATAACAGAGTATACGTTTCGCCCATGATACTCCCCATGCATTTATTGCAATGAATATATAAATTCCCATGCATTTATTCAATTATTGCATGACAAATCTATTTAAATACGAGCAATTACACGATTATGTAAAATAATTAAATATAATATGACATCTAAATTGACAATAACGCATGTATATAAGCTACCTATCAATATAATTTTGCTACACCCAAACATGGTTTCATGTACTTACTCATCATAAAAACATTGTAACAACTCTATATTATGTACATGAATGCATTATAATAAATAAATAAATAAATAATTAACCTTGTATCTACTTGAGTAAAAAAAAAATATCGATACTTACAGTATCAAATAAATCGATGATTTTAAGCAAGTAATAAAAATATACACAACGGGCGATAGTAACAGCGTGCTCACTATTCGAATAGTCCACAGGTTCACAGAACCATTTATATTTCCAGCCCCACGCGTGGATTATGGCCTGGAAAACAAATTCTTGATTATGAGTATTTCTGAATCTTAACTAGAGAAAGGACTCCTATGGGGAAGGGATTCTTAGTATTAACTACTCGGCCACTGGTATCCACGTGGCGTCTCCTGTAAACCATCATGGTTAATTCTTGACCAATTCATCACAATGGACCAACTGTCCTGCCTTTTTTTTTTGGTTGGGTGAAAATGGTATGGTAACCCCGCCTGCGTTAACGGGATACGCTGGCGGAGCACCAGTGAAGGGTGATAGATGAGAATGAAAACAAGCCAGTTAGCCCATCATGATGAATTCATCAGGAATTAACCATGATAGTTTCCAGGGAGGACCGCGAGGAGATCGACCTGGTTATATTGCTTGGGTATATTGCTAGTAATAGGATTCTCAGTCTCCATTACTAACAATCCCTTTCAGAATGAGAATGTAGGCAGGACAGAGGGGGCTCTGTCCTGCCTACATTCTCATCCATCATCAATCATGGTACCCCATCAGCGTATACCAAAAGCGCTGACGGGTTACTTATTTTCATCTTGAAAAATAAACCCTTGTCATTTGAAGGAAGTAAATGTTAATAGAGGTGTGGTCGTGACCATGTGGTCCCGGCATAGAATGAGCCATCCGTTTCTTTCCCGCTGATGTCGTAAGAAGCGACTAAAGGAACTTATTGTTCGAAGGATGAGCAGCGGCGTTAAAACGACACTAAAGCTTAACAGCGATTGCCAATCCGCCTGTCAAGCGTAGCTACTGCCGACAAAACCTCTCTTATCAGGGGACGCCTATGTTCAGAAGTGGCCCATTTTCTTCTCACCATCTCATCCATCACTGATGCCCTGCCAGCGTATACCGTTAGCGCAGACGGGGTTACCATTCCATTATCATCCATTAAAAAATCCGGTTTTATTTAGTCTCTGATAGTGCATCAAGTGTTCAAATAAAAAAAAAACACACCCATTCCCAGAAGTGGGACTATAATTGTTTACCATAGTATTCATGAGACAAGATTACTTACGTTATAAAATAAAAAACTGCAGGCAGCAACTTGAAATGCATTGTAAATTATAAGAATTCTCTCGATATTATATGGTGGCCTATTTTTCATCCATTCCGGTCCCCATTTGAATACGAACATTAAATATATTCCAAGAAGTATTAGCCCCTCGTAGGGCTTCGCGACGAGAAACCATGATTTGGTTCTGGAATCTGTAAATTAAATAAGAAATTTGATTATGTAGGGCAAAATTCTTTCAAAAACCTTAGTATTCTTTTAATGATACTTTATATAAATTCTAAGTGGGTCGTAAGAGGCGACTAAGGAAGAGCAAGGGATGAGCAGTAGCATACCTCTTAAAACATTTCCAAAGCCTAGCTGCGGTTGCCTAACCGTCTGCCAAGCATGGCAACTACAGGTAAAACTCCTCAAGGAGGAGGTTTATCTTGAGGTGTGGGTGACTAAAGGCTTATGTGATGATGATGAATTAAATTTTGTTGGAATTATCACAGAAATGCTCTATAAATGAAATTAGTAAAAAAATAAAAAAACGATTTAAATATTACAATAAAAAAGTAATTAAAAATGGCTCCGTAAGAAAGGAACAGGAATTAATACGTGGTTTCATTTTATAAAGTTTCCCGAAGTAATATTATCCACCTAATAACCTGCGAAGACAGATTAACTTTCTCCTCGAACTATCCATATACATTGATAAAATATTCCTTAAAAAGACGTCAATCATATAAATATTGTAATATGTTTTTTTATACTACTTAGAATGGCAAACAAACTGACGGCCCACCTGATGGAAAGTGGTAACCGTCGCCTATAAACATGAGCAGTACCATGGACATAATAGACTATATTGTTTCGCCCATGATACCCCCATGCGTTGCCATTCCTGAAGACTCAGGTGTTAATTCTCTGTACCCTGTAAATTCACGCCATATCCTACCCTTCAAACTGAAACAGCCAATGCAAACACAACTGCTTTACGGTTGGGACAGAGGTGCCTAAGCAAACGACTTTTGTACAAAGTCTCCCTCTGGTGAATTAAATAAAAGTAATAATACAAGTTTATTTTCTGATGTAACTGTTCATAGGTATCACAATTGTCACTGTTTTAAAATGAAATATTTTAAATACAAATACTGTTTACAATCAATTACAAATGGCCAATAAATGACAGTGAACAATGACGGAGTATGTTGAAAGAAAACATAGAGGTCAAATTGTAAACTATTGTCACATGAATTAATTGTCTTTTTAAATTCAAATGGGATACATAATTAATTAAACATAAACATAGTCTTTTGTATATACATACGTTTACGAGAATCTACGTTTATATAACAAAATAATTTATTATTCCATTTTTATATTTTTATTTTCACTTGATAGAATCTGAAACGAGGATATCCGGAAAAGAACCAAAGTAACCGACGTAGCCCGAAGGATAAGCAAGCTAAAGTAGAATTGGGCTCGAAGAACAGACAATCAATAGGGAAGTCAATCAATCAATAGTTCTTTAGTGGCGACCCCGTATAGGCAAACGCGTGTGGGACGACGACCCCGCACTAGATGGAGACTAGATAGACTAGATAGGACGACTTCAAATACATTGCAGGGAGTCAGTAGATGCGGTGGCTCAAGACCATTCATTATGGCAGTCTATGGGGGAGGCATATGTCCAGCAGTGGACGGGTAAGGGCTGAAACGATGATAATGAGGAGATTTTGTACAAAAGTCATTTGCTTAGGCCCCTCTGTCCCATTCGTGTTTCAACCGTGAAGCAGTTGTGTTTGCATGGCTGTGTTTCGGTTTAAAGGGTAGGATATGGCGTGAATTTACTGGGTTCAAAGGAATAACACCTGAGTCCTCAGGAATGGCACCGCATGGGGGGTATCATAGGCGAAACAGTATACTCTGTTATTATCTGTCTATAGGCGACGGTTACCACTTTCCATCAGGTGGGCCGTCAGCTTGTTTGCCATTCTAAGTTGTATAAAAAAAAAAAAGATATAATTTTTACGTCCAAAGAAAACACAATCCAAAGTTTTAGCAATTTGATTAGGACAGTGATCTGCATATATCAGATTGCTATATATTCGTTGCCCAATGGGATCCATCTTAGACTATACCGTCACTTTCCATCAAGTGAGGTCGTGGATAATTGTGGGACCTTTCCTCACTAATAAAAGCATTTTATTTTTTTTTACAATTATATTAATTTTATTATATTTTTATTACCATGACCATTCGTGGTAATAAAAATATTATATAATAACACAGTACAGTATAACATTAGACAATTATATCAATAAATATAACTATATTCTTTTTTATATAAATAAGATTGTTTACCACAAAAAAAAAACCAACTGCAATTGTGGTAAAACCAGTTATTTTGGTGTAAAAACTAAACTAATGAATATATTTTAATAAAAATTCTATACGATCAATCTGTACTAGTATCATTTCAAATAAAAAAAAAAAGAACTTGCTTAATCGATTTACAACTAACGGAGTTATAAGGTAACAAACATAAAAAAAACTACAATCGAATTTAGAATTCTTTTTTTTAAGTTGGTAGAAAATAGGGCTGTAGTGTTTTTTTTTTCATACAATTGAGACTTCCAAAATGCGGCGTATTTAAACCTTTGTCTGTATATCCTAAACGCGTGTTTCCACGTTTGTCTGTTTGTTACAATATTAATAAATACTCTGCATGGTGCAGTTAAAGTAAACAATATTTTATTTATTATTTTAAATTTTACTTAAGTAAGTGCATTATCGTCTAATAGTCTCGGTATAGAATGTCACCTGTCACCTCTTGCAGTCTCATGGGTGCCGACTAAGGGAATTTAGGGATTTCCTCTTAAAAAGTCACCAAAATTTAACTGTGGTCGTCAATCCGCCTGCCAAGTGTGGCAACTATTAGCAAAACCACTGTTTTATGGGGAGGCTTATGTTCAGCAGTGGACAGTTAACGGCTGACATGATGACGATGATATAATACTTATATTATCTATATTATATATACATATATATTTATATACATATATATTTATATACATAATATGATAATAAATAATATTGTTTTTACGTCTTAAATTAATTTGTTCAGTAAACATTCGTATTCTCTTTTTGATATAATTTTATTTATTTATTTATTTTTATAGTTAATTTTCTTTCTTATAGAAAAATGTATTATTATAATTATAATATATTACTAATTTATATATATATATATATATATATATATATATATATATATATATTTATATATATATATATATATATCTTTCTCCGTTATAAAAGATGCGCGAAAAGCACCTTCTTAATATATCTGAAAAACTTTCGATACTTTACTTGCCTACCTTGCCTTGGTCCAGCGATGACCAATAAAGTATTTTAGACTATTATATAACAAATTATTAGCTAGCCCTATTTTATTTGAGAAAGAAATCAGAAGCCCTGAATCACCATGCATGATAAGCAAGTTACGAAAGTGGACGAAGCCAAAGATACCTTTGACAAACGGTTCCCTTTATCTATGCAGCATGAAATTTAAAGCAAATATGAAGAATGACAAATCTATGATTTTCAACATGTACTATTTTTAACAAATTACGTATTTTTTTTTTTATTTCGAGTCTTCAGAAAATTTAATGTTCACGGAAAGCATTTTATGAAATGCCTTTTTCTTGGACAAGAGTCACACTTCTTGAATGTCACCCAAATAGATGTAAAGTCCAAAGATCTTAAAACAGTTGTAAAAATAAAAATATTCCGCTATGAAACTTACCTGCTAATTCATGGAATAAATAGTTGTATGCATTCCATGATTTTCGTATAATTTCAGCCATCTTCTTTTAATTATCAAATTAATTAATACCACTTAATAACTATTTTTTTTACTTCCTGTCTCGTTCTATGTTAGTTGCACGGATTAAATGCTACAATTTTTCTTTACCAACGCGCCCACTGAGCTACGCTGTAATAGAATGTCAACTGATAGGGTCAAATATATTTCTTAATGTTTTTTAATGAACTTTCAAAATTAAAAACATTTAATTTGTACGGCAGCTTCTGAATAAGTGAGGGTTCTGTACATTTGTATAGATAGATAGATACACTTTATCGTTTCCTCCAAAATATTACAATAGTAAACTTGTTATAGATACAAACAATTACAAAAAATGTTTACAGTGAGAAAACAATGGATGACCTGATCGCTAAAAGAATATGTCTTCAATAGACATTATAAATGTTGCCTGTTGCCTGCGACTTCATCCGCGTTTCCGTCGTTTTTTGTAAAATAAGTAGCCTATGTCCTTCCTCACGGTTCGGTGGTTTTGATGTAACAGACACATTTCCCTTCACTGCTCTGCTCCTACTGATCGTAGCGTGATGAAAAGTAAGATACTATAACCTGCCCAGGAGTATGAAGAATAATTGTACTAAGTTTCGTTAAATCCGTCGAGTAGTTTTTGTTTCTATAACGAACATACAGACAGACAGATAAAAATTTTACTGAGCGCATTTTTGGCATCAGTATCGATCACTAATTTCCCCCTGATAGTTATTTTGGAAATATATTTCATGTACAGAATTGACCTCAATACAGATTTATTATAAGTATAGGTAGAAGATTATATTTAAAAATACACAGATGCATTTTAGATTCTGTTACATAATAAAAACATAATTTGTACAGAGGAATAACACCTGAGTCCTCAGGAATAGCAACGCATGGGGGGTATCATGGGTGAAAGAGTATACTCTGTTATGTCCATGGTACTGCTCAAGTCTATAGGCGACGGTTACAACTTTCCATCAGGTAGACCGTCAGCTTATTTGCCATTCTAAGTTGCATAAAAAATCATTTTAGTTCGTTAGCAGAGAACTTTTTGAGTAATCAATCTGAAACATTGAATACTGTTAAATTATTTTTGAGAATTAACAGGTAACTACGACGTTGCAACATTATGGTATGATAAAGTGATAAGTTTCATTTGCCAAGCGTAGCAATTACTGGCAAAACTCTCCTTATGGGGATAGCTTATGTTCAGCAGTGGACAGTTAAAGGCTGAAATGATGATGATGAAAGTTATGAGTTCTCATAATAACATCAATATAAACATATATATCAATTTAATAGCTTTTGAGGTGAACATCGATATCTTTTTTATTCAAGATACCCCAAGTGTAAAGTGCATGTTGCCAGTATCTATTAATAATATAAAATTTAAAAAGTTTTCCATAAAAAAAAACCGACTTCAACTGTGGAAAATACCAGTTATTTTGTTTTAAAAATGAAACCACTATATCGATTTTAATAAAATTTCATTTAAATAGTTTTTTTTATATTTTTAAAAAAGAATTAATGTATTCATAGAATCATACAACTCACACAGAAAAAATAAACAAAAAAAAACTAAATGTAAAAATGTTAGGTAATAACTAATACAAAAAACAAAACTAAAAAAAAGTCTTAATTTCAAATGAAGTCTTAATTTAAAGTTATACAGATAAGTACAAGTGTGTACACGTAAACGTGTGTGCGTGTCGCAACGTTTTGTGAGATTTGTTGAACACAGATCTCCGTGTTTAGCATGTAGCTGCACCATTTGAGGTGCCACAGCGCTATTTTTCATCATAAACGATGATGTCCCAGGTAAAGAGAGTTATAATTGATAAATAGTGTGATTATATTCTGCGCAATTACACTATATAAAAGAAAAGTATTGTACAAACACACACACAAACATAAACACGCACGTGTGCACACGCGTGTGTGTGCACTCACACACATACACACACACGCATGTACGCACACACATAAAATAATGCATATATATGTAATAGCTATGACAAACAGTTATAATAGTGAATAAATAAAAATAAACTTCCATCGCATAGTTACAGTAGTAGAATTAGCATGGCAAGGGGTTTATAGATAATTAGCTATGGGACCCCAATAATTAGCATATTCATAAAGGAGGACAGCACTGTCATTGTAACTTTCAAGTATAATTATTGTAATAACATTTGTACTATTCAACACTTTTTTAATCTAACCTTCGCCCACGGCTGCGCCCGCCTATTGTATTCGAATTTTGAAAAATGGTAAAACACTTCTATCGAAAGGCTAACTTTTAAAACTTCCTAACATAAATTACGTACAAAACTTACATAAAAAAATTTACCCCTATTTCACCACTATAAAGGTGAAATCTTCAAATGCAATGAACATATTAACTTCTATTTGAACCAATTTCTAACTTAAATTACATAAAAAACTTACATACAAATTGTCATACCCCATTGGCCCTCACCACTGTAAATGTGAAATTTTTTTTATACAACTTAGAATGGCAAACAAGCTGACGGTCCACCTGATGGAAAGTGATAACCGTCGCTTATAGACATGAGCAGTACCATGGACATAACAGAGTATACTGTTTCACCCATGATACCCCCCATGTGTTGCCATTCCTGAGGACTCAGATGTTATTCCTCTGTACCACTGGCCAATTACAATTTACTGAAATTCACGCCATATCCCACCCTTCAAACCGAAACACAGCCATGCAAACACAGCTGCTTCACGGTTGAAACACGAATGGGACAGAGGCACCCAAGCAATCGACTTTTGTACAAAGTCTCCCTCTGGTAATTAATTTTCAATGTCAATATACATATTAATTTATATTTGAACCAAAAACCTAAATCTGATGTTTCACCTGTCTAACTACCAAACTGACGAAATTCTATACAAACTGTCAAGCTCCGTTTTACTTCCTAGGGGTTGAATTTTGATAATTTCTTTTTTATTATTCATTTACGCTATATAAAAAACCTATCTGCAGAATTCCAAGATTCTAGATTCAACGACTCCACAGCCAAACAACGATATATCGTCACAGTCGTAGAATACTGATGGATCTGACAAACATTTCATATAAAGATCCGTCAGTATTCTACGACTATGACGATATGTGTTAATCAATCAGAATCCTTTCCTATTATATCGTCATAGTCGTAAAATACTGACGGATCTGACAAAGATTACATATAAAGATCCGTCAGTATTCTACGACTATGACGATATTTTTTAAAGCTTAAGTATATTTTTATTTTCCTGTCCAATAATGATAGTAGCAATTTTTTTACCTAGTACCTGGATAATTATAGTTAGTTAATAGGTAAAAATACTGACGTGTTGCTTATAGCCTACATTCTTCTACTGTTGAAAATAAACTTTCCCCATAAGGGGAGTTTTTCTAGTAATTGCCACGATTGGCAGGCGAGATGGCAACCGCAGTTAGGCTTTTAGAGATGTTTTTAAGAGGGACGTTGCTACTAATCCCTCGTCCTCCCTTAGTCGCCTCTTAAGACACCTACGGGAAAGGAAGGGGCGCCCCATTATATGTCAAGGCATAGACGGCGATTATTATTATTAATTATACCCATATAATATCTAAGTTTCTATACTTTTCGTCCTGTTGCGGAACTATGCACACTTTTTCATATTTAGGTACAGTGATAGCGCCTACTAATATAATAGCAGCAATTAATCCTACAAGAAATTTTTATGCGTGTTTTTTGATGTTATTATTATATTTTTTATTTATTCAAAGCACAAAATACATTGTATAGGATAAGTATTGGATAAACACATACGTACATCAGGGACTTGGTGGCCAGCGACTAGCTGACAACTGCAAATTAGCTTGTGAACATTAACGGTTAACTTAGTAGCCGCTGATTAGCTGATGACTTCAAAGTGCCTTATGCATGTAAAACTCAAATAATAACTCTTACCTTAAAGATAAGAATATTAGCCTATAACCACTTTTTTAGTGTTTTTAACTGTAAATCTGTAAATTGACTTTTTTGAGACCCGACGTTTTCTATCTAAACGCATAAAATCTAGCATTTATATGCTAGATTATTATTAACTACAACTACTACTCGTGTGAGGATGGCGCTCTCTAGTAACCAAAGCTTTTTAGCCATCTTTGTTTTTTTTTTTTTTATACAACTTAGAATGGCAAACAAGCTGACGGCCCACCTTATGGAAAGTGGTAACCGTCGCCTATAGACATGAGCAGTAGCATGGACATAACAGAGTATACTGTTTCACCCATGATACCCCCCATGCGTTGCCATTCCTGAGGACTCAGGTGTTATTCCTCTGTACCCAGTAAATTCACGCCATATCCCACCCTTCAAACCGAAACACAGCCATGCAAACACAGCTGCTTCACGGTTGAAACACGAATGGGACAGAGGTACCCAAGCAATCGACTTTTGTACAAAGTCTCCCTCTGGTTCAAATGAAGAGAGGCTACGCCGGAATACACACAACACCTGTGTATATCGGCCTAAAACTTAGAGACCCGGAGACCGTAGCCTCCAGAAAAGATGCCGGGGTAATAGGGTTCGCCCCAACGGCCTCACCTCACCCGCCGGAAACCATGAAGGCGGGTAAAAGAGACGATTTGGGTTGATTGATTCAAATGAAGGCGTTTATGGTTTATCAAATGACACCGTTACGTGCTCTCCAAAGCACGAAACAAATGATAATCATTTTAAATGATTCAAATGTGTTCTTTGAAAAATTAGAAGGTTCAGATCGAGATTCGGTCTTAGGATCTTTGAACCCAGCCACAGAATTATCTATATTAGTATTGTATTTAAATACTATACTAGTACTACAGCCAGGCGCTGCTCAACTGAGCCATCACCACTATAACGATCAATGATGACCGTCAAAAGACATCGAAAGTTGGTTAACCATGACATTTTCTACGACATTACACGTATCAACGATATTATAGCAAGAGTCGGTCATACTGCATTCAGTGAAGGCCTTTTCACAACTTCATTTAAAGCTTTCACAAGTTTATGCGAACTTAGGAGCGTCTGTATTATTATTGTATAATATTTAGGGTTCCGTATGCATAGAAAGCGTAACTTAAGACTAAATTTAAATTATTTATTTATTTAATTTAGATGCCACTGTCATTAGATTAGGAAAATTTCTTCATGAGATTAGAAACAGCTCAAGCATTGTGATTAGTCGTGTGGTCTCTGCATAGAATGGACCACCACTTCCTTTTCTGTGGATGTCGTAAGAGGGGACTAAGGGAACTTAAAGGTCGAAGGGAAGAAGAAAGCGGAGGGGAAGCTACCCTCTTAAAACTGTTGCCAACTCACCAGTTAAACGTGGCGACTACTGAGGACTGTCAAAAGATGTATTTAACATTTTACTGAATTATACCTATAGGCAGCTAAGAATATTTTTTATGGAAAAAAGTAAAATAATATGGGTTATAACTTTTTTCTTCATAAGAACCTTCTTCAGATCCTTGAAAAATTGCTGAATTGTTTCAGTCGTTTTCAAATTTTGCGCTGAGTAACATATTTAGCGTTTAATTTTGATTGTTCTAGATTTCCATTTAAAATATTGTCTCCTATAAAAGATTCAGTTCGTCCCTTAGATTTTGGATGACCTTTCCTGTGATGCTGCGACCTTGGATCTTTCAAGGTTATGTTATCATAAATTAAGACAAGTCCTTCTTCCTCGAGATTGCATACTATCACCTACAGCCCACATCAGTTTGTTAGTAATGTAAATAATTCATCCAACTATAAGACAATCTGGTTTAGGCGTTATGTATGAATGCCTAAACATTTAGCTGAGTGGTGACCATTTTGATCGCATGATTCCTAATTAGGTATAAGTTTTGTATTTCCTTTTTCTTTAAGCTTATAATTTTTTATGTTTTTGTTGTGACTGTTATTGACATGCGTCAAACAAATATTCTTCTTCTTTCTCTTTCTTTCTATTACCCTAATAGCACAAATGGAAAATTGATTAATTGATTGACTATTTCTGTTTATCTCTGAAATTAGAGTTAAACAGAAATAGAATTAAAGGAAATCCTTTAACGAAATATTTCTGTGATAATTTCAAATAAACTTGATTACTTTTTTATTAAATTCTTTTTAAACAGACTTCTTTTATTTCATCGTGCGTAAATAGTGGACACCCAACACCTGTGTATTGAACTCCGAAATAAATAAGATATTTTAAACGGACCCTTTAGTTGGAAGCACCACTCGAACTTATCATTGAATAATAAATATTTATATTGTGTAGTAAAAATATTGATAATGTAAAAGGCAAATACTCTCGGCCGTAAGCACCGTTTCGCGTATTCTGCATTGTGCAATCTAATATTAATACAATAGTATCAAGGCCTCGCCTATTTATGCATGAGGACTTGAAAAATTATTGGCATTGGCATGGATTTTAATCATTGCAAATTCTTACAAATACTAACAATAATTTTATTTTTTTTGTTGATGGGTGAAAATGCTATAGTAACTCCGCCTGCGCTAACGGGATACGCTGGCGGGGCACCAGTGAAGGGTGATAGATGAGAATGAAAACAGGCCAGTTAGACCATCATGGTGAATTCATCAGGAATTAACCATGATAGTTTCCAGGGGGAACCGCGTAGAGGTCGACCTGGTTGGATATATTACTAGCAATGGGATTCTTAGTCTCCATTATTAACAATCTCTTTCCCCCCTACTAACAATAATTAATTTATTATTACGAGTATAAATTATTTATTATTACATTAGGTGTCATGTCGTATAGAGAGGTCAAAGATATAGCCTGGGATAGAACTGGGTGGAAGGAAATGTATTAATAAGTTGCACCGACAAGAGGAAACTCTTAAATGAAAATAAATACAGATTATTATTAATTTATAATACTGTTATATTCCTTCGTCGTGTGATCCCGGCAGAGAATAGGCCATCTCTTTCTTTCAAGTGGGTGTCGTAAGAGGCGAAAGTAAAAGCTAAAAAAGAATAAAGGAACAAATTTCTTTGATCCATAAGAGATAGTGCAATCGCATTTTACAAGTTGGTTAAGTTTATAAGCTCCTTTGAAACATAATTTTAGTACTGTTAATTATTAAAATCTTAAACTAATAAAAGAAAGAATGAGATAACAGATATTGCTATTTTATTCAGTATCTTGCATGCAGTAACATGGGGGGTATCATGGCCGAAACAGTATACTCTGTTATGTCCATGGTACTGCTCATGTCTATAGGCGACGGTTACCACTTTCCATCAGGTGGGCCGTCAGCTTGTTTGCCATTCTAAGTTGTATAAAAAAAGTTTGCTAACAGAAACGAGATTTCCATAAGACATATATGTATATGTATATATATATATATATATATATGTATATGTATATATAATAAGTATATAAGTATATATAAGCAAGTATAACTATTACTCTGTCATGTAATTATATTTATATTAATTTTCAATTCACGATTGCAATAAGAATGTTACGGAGATCGTTACGGCCGATAATTTTGGTATATCTCAGCGCAAATCACAATTGTTTATTTTATTTTGCAGTCAAATATTTTAATTACACAAAGACTTCAAATCTAGGTCAAGTATTATTTGAGTTTAGTCAATTAATAATAGCAAATAATTAATATGTAGTATTCAAATAAAATTCAAATAAAAGAGGGTTGACGTCAGGCAGGTGGCCGGTCGTAAAACTAAAAAATCAAATCTTTTTGTAATATGGATAAAATCATATTACGCCGACCCCAAATGATTGGGATAAGGGTAGGAAGATGATGAAGATGATGATGATTCAAATAAAATTGTATTTAATAACTGCTCATCTAATTATTTCCTTATTAGCGTTTAGGTGTAAAATGCTGAGTGAATTGAATGTTTTTTTTTTTATTTGACGAGACAAGATTTATTTATTTATTTGTTACAAGTTACAATAACAGTTTATAACCAGATGGAGACTTTGTACAAAAGTCGTTTGCTTTGATACCTCTGTCCCATTCGTTTTTCAACTGTAAAGCAGTTGTGTTTGCATGGCTGTGTTTCGGTTTGAAGGGTAGGATATGGCGTGAATTTACACGGTACAGAGGAATAACACCTGAGTGATATTGGCCCGGCCAGCGGCGTGTGCATATTAATAGCCTGTCGAATAATACTTTATCCAGTTTTGTAATGTCTAATGACAAAAAAAGCTGTAAACTTTGTTTATAAGGACATTCTGTAGTAGGTAGGTATATTTAGTATCAGCATTGCACCCGTGCGAAGCCGGGGCGGGTCGCTACATTAAATTAAACGCCTCCATAATAAAATGATCCCTTTATTTCCATTCTTAACATTAAACAAGTCTTTTAGCGGATGATTCCTTAAGATTATTATATATATATATATATATATATATATATATGGACCATAAAAATAATTATGTATTTATAAAGTACATATATAAAAGCTGTTCATGCATTCAGTTATTAGTCCAATTATTTTAAAAAAAATCTATTATTAATAGTTACAATATATAATATGGCGTCAGTCACTTTGATACAGGGTTGCCACCTAAAATATACTCGCAAACTTATTTTAGGTTGGGTGGTATTTTATATTGTATTATATTTCTAATTATTATGTAACTATTAATATAATTATTATCAGAACTATTAAAGACAATGTCATTTAATAAAACTTTCTTTGGATACAATTCAAATAGTTGTTGGATAAATATTATAAAAATATATTAATTGTTCGAATATAACAAAAAAATGTTGATGTCAATCAATGAAATCATTAATAGAATCTAATATTATAAATATAATGATTTGTATTTAATAATAATGTAAATTTTAATTAAATATAGATGCATTAAAATGTATTCTTGTATATTTGACAACAATTGTACCCTACAATAGCCATATTAATAAGAGATTTACATAGTAAATCTCTTTTAAAATAGCATTGACAGATACTAATTTAATGTACGATCAATCATGCAATGATCATTTTCATCATCGCCACTGATAACAATACTCCTTGTACAGTGTCATTGCAGAGTTGCAGAATGACGTAGCGGCGAAGAGAGAAACGATGACATTGAACAGTTGACTTTATATATTGGATATACATCTTAAATTCCTACTAAGGAAACTACCAGCTCACGACTGTGCCCAATCTTGCACGAAGTAGCAGTGGCTTTACATTATGAATATAACTTCTAACTAGCATAAAAAAAAAATTTTTAGAAAATACGGAATACGTTCTAAATAAAGTAGTTGGTTTTACTATAAATTATTACGAGTTGAGGCGAAGTCTGTGATCCCACTAAGAGGAAGAAAAGGTAAAAAATATTTGCTGTTTAACATAGAAAAGAGGATAGGTAAGTTATAAGAAATTATCACAACTATTTTGTGTCAGTTAGGAGGTTATAGTGGTTACCAGTCGAATTCGCCTCTACTCCGACAATGTGCGCTGACCCTAAAACTATCTTAAATACTTATATCGTGGAATGTGCTAGCTATCTACTATTCTACAGTATACATAAACAAAATTTCTGGACGGGACGTTAAAAAAAATGTAAAAATATTAACACATGAGGCGCCTCTATTGTTTCCGAACGTATTTATACTTGTACTATGGTAATATTGTTATGAGGCGGTTACTTAACTAAATAAAGTATAATTAATTGATAAAATAATAACTTTCTGACAGGATTCCTTGGCCCTCAGCTTTTTAGGTACATTTTTCTTCAAATGCAAATAATTATTTGACATTATTAAATTGTATTAGTTACACTTTGTTTTTTTTTTATGTCGAAATGAATTTAAAACTTCCAATGGCTAAATTAAAGTGGCACATCCCTAATCAGACTTGTAACATTTTTAGGGTCCCACAAACTAATAAGTGAATGGAATCCTTTTAATATCATGTGTCTGATCTAATCTCTGATGTACATACTAAATTCATTTTGCATTTCAAAACGACTATTATGTACATATTAACTAATAATACATGATCATTAAAATAATCGTATAATTAAAAATATTTACAGCTTTAAAAAGTATCGTCATAGTCGTAGAATACTGACGGATCTTTATATGTAATCTTTGTCAGATCCGTCAGTATTCTACGACTATGACGATATATTTATTACAATGATATGATTTACAATCTATATTCTATATTAATTATAATTTGTGATGGCAACATACAGAATAAGGTACAGAAATTAAAAAAAAAAACACCATTAATCATACATTCCTATTCAGTTATAAACTTATCATAATATACATTTACTTACTATTTGAATAGTTAATCAACCAGCAACACCTTGCCGCGGTCGGAGCGGTTGCTAAACTGTAATTGAGTTTACAATAATGATATTTATCACACAAATTATGAAAACCTAGCGTCTCCCAACTTTATAAATAACTATAACGGAAATTAAGCATTAAGACTCTTTCGTTTTTCCGTTGGCGGCCGCTAATGCTTCATTCTCATTTTGTGACACCTTCTTTGTGTTTTTCACATAGTTATTGTAATAGAAGTTTCCAAACATATAGATGAAGAGAGCCGCGTTGAGGGCCAGCAGGAAATTGATGAACTTCGGATAGTTGCAGTCGCTGAACATGACGAAGAAGTTGTGGCAGAAAACAATGGCGAACTGTACCTGCGGAAGCATTATTATTACGATTTAATTGATTTTTTATGCCAATTGTGTAAAATTTAAGAGTAACAAATACAATAGGTAAGGATCTTCTTTATCATATCAGTCATTAACCGTCCACTGCGCGTGAATATGGACTCCCCCTTAAAGAAGGGCAGGCGGGTTGCCTATCCTTCGACGATTAGGACCTGTTACTCACTTACAGGAAGGGAAGGGGTGGCCCATTCTAAGTTGGAACCACTGTATATTGTAAGAGGCGATTAAAAGAATTTAATGGTCGAGGGTTGATCACCAAAACCAAATTGCAGTTAGCAATTTACCTGCCAAGCATGGTAACTACTAGCTAAACCTGTCCAATAGGGGGAGGCCTATGTTCACCAGTGGACAGTAAACGGCTGATATGGTTTGTTATAGCTATTCCATCTGTTTGCACGAAGAGCTATGCGTCTCCATTCCTTATGCCTTTAGCTAATAAGAGGAATCCCTTCCATTAGTTTTACTGAGCTCTAATAATCTAGACTTTTTGAAGCAGAATGAAGTATTCAACAAGCTGAAGCTCTTTAGCTCCTTAATTATGATATCATCATTCATCATCAGTCAATTGCTGAGACCGACTTTTTATACATTTCTGACAAAGATTACTTACCAGTTGGATAGTGGTGACGTGTTTCTTCCACCAAAGGTACTTCTGGTACTGCGGTCCCAGGCCAGAGATTAAGTAGTAAGTGTACATAATAATGTGGATAAAAGCGTTAATCACGCCCAACAGTGTTCCGTGACCACCTGAAAACATAAGGAAATAAGCGTTAAGACCACTTTGATTTTGATACTACTACTCGTGTGGGGGGTGCTTCCAAGTATTTTTTTTATACAACTTAGAATGGCAAACAAGCTGACGGCCCATCTGATGGAAAGTGGTAACTGTCGCCTATAGACATGAGCAGTACCATGGACATAACAGAGTATACTGTTTCGCCCATGATATCCCCATGCCTTGCCATTCCTGAGAACTCAGGTGTTATTCCTCTGTACCCAATAAATTCACGCCATATTCCACCCTACAAACCGAAATACAGCTATGCAAACACAGCTGCTTCACGGTTGAAACACGAATGGGACAGAGGTACTCAAGCAATCGACTTTTGTACAAAGTCTCCCTGTGGTAAAAAGTTTCTAGACTGTTTTCGTTGTATACGAAGACCTTTGACGTAGTTTATGCACTGGAAGATGGCCATTAAAGCACGAAGTTGGTGTCAGAACGCCCGGGAGAAGTGACCAAAGTAAACATTTAAAAATATTTTTTTAATAACCAGCGATTCAGCCCAGCTTCGAACGACAATAATATTTGTCAATTGCTGATAATATAACTTTCTATAGATGGAAGAATTTTTGCCTTTTCTTGCCTATTTTCTCACTGATGCCCCGCTAGCGTACGAGTATACTGACAGATAAAAAGAAATGCCCACCTGGTAAAAATTTGACTGCAATCCAAGCACAAATCGGCATTATGAAATGATGGTACAAATGCAAGAAGGAGATCTGCCTATTCTTTTTTCTTAAAACAAAGAACACGGTATCCAGAAGCTCAACGATCTTCGCCATGAAATACCACCAAACTGCTGCGGCCATCTGTAATATTAGCACAGGACAAATAAATCGTAAGTGGGAAAAATTGTTGCAAATCTGAAACTTAGCATAGTTATTTTTTAGATTATGGTAAACTCAAAGGAGTTTTTTAAGGGTTTAAAATAACAAAAAGTATTTAAAAAAATGTATTAATGCCTTGTTTTCTAATAATTTATTAAGAACTGACTATTTTAACTCAATAAACAACTAAGTTTTAGGCTTGTAGTATTTTTTTTTAATAAATACATTTATTGAAGGTACCCACCATCTATAGTATGAAGGAAAGAATTGAAAAGAACAGAGATGGCGTTGGGAGTGAGTTAAGGAAGTTGGTAAATAAAATGAATGATTTACGAGGAAAAGGGAAAGGGGAACACTGCAGTTGCGTAGGGGATACTGCATGGAAACTGCAATGGCTCGAGAGACTGGGTTTGCTTAAAGAATAAGAATACATAAGCAAAAAATAATTACTCTGTAAGCTTTCGGACTACGCGAGTAATCCACTGGTTGGCATGAGAAGCTGTAGTCATTCCACCATCCGGAGACTAAACCCTGCAATAACAAAAAAAACATAAGTATATATATATATATATACATAATAATATAAGTAATGTAAATAAATTGTCTATCTATCTATCTATATACCTTTATACATTCTACAGTTTTCTTTCAGCTTCTCAAAGGTTGACTGTAAGAGATCCCTTTATGGGATAAGTCCGCCATTGTTTATTAAATCATTTACTAGTATTTAATCTGAGTTATGTACAATAAAGATTTTTACAATACAATTACAATACAATATATATATATATATATATATATATATATATATATATATATATATATATATATATATATACTCCATTTAAAGAATAATATATAACATATATAAGTGGAGTAATAAATGATATAAAAAAAAATGAAGCATTCCTATTGCTCATCAATCTTTTTGTTTCTAATTTTACGATTAATTAATACCAAATTTCATAATACTAATATATTACCTAAGTACACGTTTTATATTACAATAAAGAATTAAATAAATAAATTTAATTAAATTTCTTTTAATTTCCATTATTGCCTAATAACCTTGAATATGTTCAAATATACAGTGCAGAGGTCTTACTCGTGAATACTATATCGGCAACCTTGACTTTTTCTATTTCAACAGGTAGTACGCATTTATTGACATATTAAGTAATACATTTTCTAAGAACTATTTGCAATTTTCTATAAATTTTATTTTTATTAGCTCGACAATAGTGGTTAGAGACTATGCTTACAGTCATGAAGTATTAAGTAAAACGGAAGTAAACTTTATATATATATATATATATATATATATGTTATGTCCATGGTACTGCTCATGTCTGTAGGCGACGGTTACCACTTTCCATTAGGTGGGCCGTCAGCTTGTTTGCCATTCTAAGTTGTATAAAAAAAAATTGGACACGGTTTTCACAGATTTGTATCCCTGAAGTTGTAGATTAAAATTTGTTATATGTTATTATTTTGATACGGCATTCAGAAGTAGAAGTGCACGTCTAATATCCACGTGGAAGAGGTAGCGGGCAATAAGCTAGTTAAAAATAATATCACTTACCTCATATACCAAGAATATACTAAACAGCACTTGTGTTATGTTATAAACCAATATAACATTTTTCAAATCGTACGGTTTCCTATCTCTCATGTACCGCGGACCGACTGAATTACAAAAGTACAGATACGTAGCCAGGATCGTGAGAAGGGGTCCAGGCCCTGACATCAGCCACCAATTTTCCGTTCTCGGATCTGCAAAAAGAAATACAAGATTACATGCAATCGATACTTAACACATTTTGCTCAACTATTCGAATGGTAAATCTACATCTACACTAATATTATAAAGAGGAAAGATTTGTATTTTTGTGTGTATGTATGTTTGTAATAAAAAAACTCAAAAACTACTTCGCCGATTTCAAAAATTCTTTCATCATTAGAAAGCTGCATTCACACTGAGTAACAAAGACTATATTTATTGCTAGAAAAGATTGGGGATCCTTACTAAAACTTTAGTAACGTAACTCAAGATGTAAAAAAAATGCCATATTTCGTCGCGTGCACTGCGGAAACTATTGGTGATAAAACAAAAGTATGTTCTACAATATTTAAGAAAATATCAATAACTACAAAAAACTTAGCGATACTATATGTCCAACTATTATCGTTATGTCACAATGACCACTTTTTAAAATGTTGTAAAAATGTCCACCCGTGCGAAGCCGGGACGGGCCACTAGTTTATTATATTTTCAACGGATCACAAAAGAAGAAAGCTCTCAATATAGTTGTCTTTTTATTATATTTGTTACCTCATAACTCCGTGAGTTCTAAACCGATTTCGCCAATTTTTTTCTATACTAATTGATTAGTCCCATATAAATTTTATCAAAATCGGTTCAGTTATTTAGTCTTTAAATCAAAATAACTGGTTATGTTTAATTTAATAGGTATTATGTATTTATGTTTATATTATATGAATATATCAAAGTATTGCTTTGATTTTCCTCGATTCAATAATACTGTAAGAGAACACCGTCTGGTGTTAATAAACATATAATTTTATTGTCCATTAAAGTTTAAATGAATAAATAAATATTCTTATATATTTTTCTGTCACCGTGTGATCCCAGTATTGAATAGGCCACCCCTTCCTTTCCCGTGTGTGTCGTCAGAGGCGACTAAGGGAGGACGAGGGATGAGCATCCCTCTTTAAACATCTCCAAAGCCTAACTGCGGCTGCCAGTCCACCTGCCAAGCGTGGCAATTACTGGCAAAACCCCCCAAAGGGAGGCTTATGTTCAGCAGTGGATAGTCAAAGGCTGGTATGATGATGATGAATTTTCTGTGATACTTAGGATAACAAATACGCTATGCTTTAACTATAAAACAGTAAAGGTCTCCAAAAAGCATGATCGCTGCTGTTCATCTCTTGCCCTCTCCTAGTCGCCTCTTTCGACACCCACGAGAAACGAAGTGGAAAAAATAATGTAATAAAAAAAAAAAGAATAAAGCATTTGCTTTATTCTTTATATTCTTTATATAAAGAATAAAGAATAAAATAAAAATATATTCTTTATATAGACAAACTATTTAGACAGTCTATAATTCTAGTACGGAAGTTAGTATGGAAAGGATTTTATTATTAAAAAAAAAACACACTAGATTAGTTTTTATTTGTTAATAATTATTCAAATAAACTAATTTATTTTAATTATAAACGCATTGTAATTATTGTGAAGGAATTTTTTTTCAATAACAGTAATAGGAACAGCGGTTTGGAAGTACGTGAAATTGCGCAGTATCATTTTAATAAAAAAAAAAAAAATTTATTACTCGATCGCGCTACGGAATTGAGTAAAATTTCGTACAATGACGGAACGTATTATGAATTAACATTATAGATATTTTTTATTCCAATCTACGTAAGCTATCGTGGGTAAGAGCTAGCAAATATATATAAATAACTAGTTACTAACTGTTTAGTAGGTATGTACGATTATGTCATTGCTAAATTTAACTTTAATTAAGGCTAAATTTAGCAACAGATCGTAATAATTTTTTATCCCACCATACAGTGGGTATAATTATAATGTACAAGTTCTATAAATAACTCGATGGTTCTAATGTTAAGAAGATTCCGGATTGGAAGTTTTTATTTATAAGTTAACTAACTATTTAACGTGATTTCGTTCGCGTAAGATTAGTTGTCTTTTTTTTATTCAACTTAGAATGGCAATGGTGTGTTTGGTCACCTCTGTCCCATTCGTGTTTCTACCGTGAAGCAGTTTTGCTTGCATGGCTGTGTTTCGGTTTGAAGTTGGCAGTGAATTAACAGGGTACAGAGAAATAACACCCGAGTCTTCAGGAATGGCAACACAAGAGGGGTATTATGAGCGAAACAGTATACTTTGTTATATCCATGGTACTGTTCATGTCTATAGGCGACGGTAACCACTTTCCATCAGGTGGTCAGGTGGACCGCCAGCTTGTTTGTCATTCAAAATTGAATAAAAAAAAAAGTTACGCCATCTTTTAAATAAAATATTTCATTTAATAAATATTCACACTTGACTTATAATTTAAAATCGTAAACGTAAACGCTTACTCTTTTAGACCAAAAACATATTGACTAAAAATATTCCTCTTTGTCAAACAAGTACAACTAACTAGTTTCTAGTTTATATATACATATAAGAGCACTTTTTGCAATAGTAAAAAAAAATTTAAATAATACCGTGGATGCGATATAGTGTTATGACAAGTTCGAGATTTGTTAAGTTGTTAGATTTTTTTTAAATGGATGATAATGGAATGGTAACCCCACTCGCGCTAACGGTATACACCGACGGGGCACCAGTGAAGGATGATAGGTGAGAATGAAGCAGGTCAGTTAGCCCATCGTCACGAATTCAACAAGAATTGTTCACGATGGTTTCCAGGGGGAACCACGTGGAGGTCGACCTAATAAGGTATATTGCTAGCAATGGGGCTGTTAAACTCCATTGCTAGCAATCCTTTTCCTCCCAGTTGTTAGATATTAATTATATAGTAATCAAACCCATAAATTGAATATATCACCATACTTTTGATTAAAAATAATATTTTACTATATTTTCATAGCATCATAATTTTAACCATTAACTGTCCACTGTTCAGGCCTCAGGGTAGATCACCAACGCGATGGACTGACCTCATCAAAACGGCCACACAGCAGTCTATTGTGGATTGCTGTCGCTCGGCAGCGAACAGAAGTAGATGGAGACATATTGCGAGGACCTCAATCGCAAAGGAGAGCCTCACCGACGATCCACTGTCATTGTGAAAACCACGACCACTCTGTCAAGAGTGTACGACTGAAGAGAGCGAGTTTAGGTCTCCATCGTATGAGGGGGGGGGGGGGGAGATTGCCAGCAGTTGGCATGCCTCGCAGGCGGATTCGCAACCACAGTTAGGTTTTGATGATATTTTAAGACGGACTTTGCTTTCTATATTTCGACCATTAAATTTCCTTAGTCGCCTCTTACGACACTCACAGGAATGAAAGGGGTGGCCCATTCTATGCTAGGACCACACGTCAATTTGAAATAACTATGTAGCTATTTATGTCGGTTTTAAACACGTTTTAAATTCAGGGATGCCCGACTAGTTTTAAACACGATAAGATCTGAGTAAAGCCTATATATTTTTTTTTTTTTTTTTTTTTTTTTTTTATAGAACTTAGAATGGCAAACAAGCTGACGGCCCACCTGATGGAAAGTGGTAACCGTCGCCTATACACATGAGCAGTACCGTGGACATAACAGAGTATACTGTTTCGCCCATGATACCCCCCATGCGTTGCCATTCCTGAGGACTTAGGTGTTATTCCTCTGTACCCAGTAAATTCACGCCATATCCCACCCTTCAAACCGAAACACAGCCATGCAAACACAACTGCTTCACGGTTGAAACACGAATGGGACAGAGGTACCCAAGCAATCGACTTTTGTACAAAGTCTCCCTCTGGTGGTATAAAATTATAATACAGTATACTTCACGATAGCTATTATTCAACAAATCAATGTAATAAAATTATTATTATGAGCACTATGCAATAACAAATAACTAACACTAGTTTATCCGAAGTTAAATCTAGGAATTATTATAATTAACTCTTAGATGCATCTTCTTCCGCGTCATAAAATACTATTTTATTTATGGTTCGCATTCCTGTATATGTAATTGATAAATGTTATTTACATTTTAGCTGAATTCGAAAAAGGTTAATTTCCTGTTTTCTCAAAGAGCTACAAATAGTGCACGACGCAGCCATGAAACGCGTTCCTGTAGTGTCCCAAAAAAGGCGGGCATTGCTGAATTAAAAACATGAGTAAATTTGACATATATATATATCATCATATCAGCTCTTAGCTGTCCAATGCTGAACATAAGCTTTGGGGGGTTTTGTTAGTAGTTGCTACGCTTGGCAGATAGATTGGTAAACGCTGTCAGATTTTAGAAATGTTTTAACACGCACGCTGCTGCCCATCCCTCGCTAAGTCGGCTCTTACCACGCAACGGGATAAACCTATAGGTTTATATATATATATATATATATATATATATATATATATATATATATATATATATATATATATATATATATATATATTATATATATATATATATATATATATATATATAATGATTCGTAAATTATGTAAATATTTATATTAGAAAGACGTAAGAAACGAGTACGCTGACTCTTGTACAAGCTAATGGTCAAATCAGAAACCATTCGCGTTTGTTGTCAACCAAGTTGCCTTATTTAGACAATATATAATATAAAATAGATTTTAACATTAGATTATGAATGAATACTACAAACTACTTAGTATTCTGCGTATGTAAGCGATATACCTACGTGACGAGATTGTGTAAATATATACCATGTACCTACACTGTTCGCCGTAGGTCTTTCAAACAGTTAGTAGTCAAAGAGACCTAATTATATATGTCTTAATATCTTAAGATTTTTCTATTTCAATATTTGAGGGCTTTATTAAACCATATCAGACGTTATTTGTTAATTTCGGAGTATAGGTCTTTTCTATAGAATGCCATAAGAAACAGTACTGATCCAAGTGCTTCCACTGACTCCCTGCAATGCATTTGAGGTCACTCTACTTAGTTTTCCTGTACTGTATTTGTCCATATAGAGTTGCCAGTTAGGAATTTTTCTTACCAATCGTTTGTCGGTTACTCTAACTA